ATATGGCACGTTCCGCACATTTCTTCACTTTATCACCCATTTAATGTGAACACAACTTTCTGTAACGCCACAATTCGAAATGAATATCTTCCATATAAAAACACTGTTTGTTAAACAGTCGATTGACATCAGTCAAACTCAAAACATCTTTTTTTCAGTAAATGAACTACGAGGTTGTTTCGGTGAGCTTCTTTTTGTGTATTTGGAATAATTGAGAATAAAAGAAAAAACAGAATGATGTTTGAAATCAGCGAACAACAGAACGAGAAAGATGACATACACGACTACCGATATCGCCGGTTTCTGTCACAGGTGCAGTTTTTACGATTTTGATTATCCGATCTGATCGCTAATTCCAGTGAACCATTGAATTTCGTTTTAAGTACATTCGTGATTAAATTCATGGGGGTTTGTAGATTGAAACACAAGCACACTAGCGCCGCAGTTTGCCCTACAATATCATATACGGCAAGCTACAGAACTATTCATTCAGTATATGTCATGTAGCTCAACTGTCAATCTGTAATCCCCCTGATTAAATTAATAAATTGATTGAGTAACTTCCTTGTTTGTGATGATAATATCGTGATGAGTGACCATGGCAGTGACAATGATTTCATTGTCCATGATTTTTTTTTCACTTGTTTATTGAACTTGAATCGGAGTTTTATTTTGTTTTGTGTAGAATTGACATAGGCTGAATGAGTAAAAAAACGAAATCTTTGACAAATAATTGTTCAACCAGGTTGAATCAACCTTAAATTTTGACGAGTTAATTAAATTATGGAAAATATTGAGAAAAAAAATTACAATTTTACTTTGATGGTTATCCTCATTTTATGACCCATCAATAAAAAAGTAATTTAATTGACGCGATATTCATGTTGAACAAAATACAATACAACATTTTAGGAACGATTTTCGATCAATACAAAGGAAGAATGATTTCGAGTCAAAGAAGAAAGTTGAAAAAATTATCTTTTCTTATAAAAAGAATGAACAACAAGAAAAAAAAATTCAGTGAGAATTTTCAATTGAAAAAGTCTGATTGGAAGATTTGATTCAAAAGTAGTACAATCACTGAGTCGGTGGTGCACTTACAGGTCTTACTTTTTGAAAAACAAACAAACAGATAAAGTCTTGAAAGTGAAAAAAATGAAGAAAATTCATGAAATTTACGAATTTTCTTTGTTTTTCACCTTCCCGTTGCTTGACCAACTTGCAGTTTGTGGCAACATTGGTTAAGAATATGCTGCTGTTTGATCTTGGCATGTGTATAGCGATTCCCGGTATCATAATCCCAGCTTTAACGGGCATTACAAATGAGTTCAACCGAAATGAATATCTTTCACTCACACCGTCTCAAGTATCGTGGCTGGGTAAGTTTTTAATTGCATTTTTTCCCATTACATTTCTTTTCCAATTTTTAAAAATTTAAATTTAATTTAAATTTTTATTGTCTTTAAAACCAATGTGTTTTATTGCCCAATCTGCATTCAACAGCAGATTTTTTCATTGCAAATGTCTGAGTAAACCAATTTAACTTGCACTTACGACGTGCGTGCAGTCGTTTCGTTGAAAGGAAGCAAAAAACACTTTTATTGCGAATTTTTAATCGTTTTGTTCTAAACACAGGGAGCGTTAATTATGTCGTTGAGCCGCTTGGCAGCGTTTTGTCCGCCATAATCACGGATGCCTTAGGTAGGTATTCTGTATTTGCAAAGAAGAAAATGATCATTTGCGAAATGAAATCGAAAAACAGGTCGAAAGCGAACGATGATGCTGGTGAATATCCCTTTAATCATTGCCTGGTTCATGATGTACAATGCAACGAGCGTCACTGAGATTTTTGTTGCCGATGTGCTGCTTGGACTAGGTGTTGGACTCATGGAATCGCCTATCATCACTTATATTGGTGAAATTTGGTGAGTTTTGAGCTTGATGATAAATTATTGGTGTTGTTTTCCTGTATGCTTTAAAATTTTACTTGAAAAAAAAATCGAAGAAGTTGTTATTTAATCATAAAAAATACACTTTCGTTTTTTAATGGATTTTTTTTTATTGGCAATTATTTCCTCAGTTCACCTTCATTGCGCGGCGTTCTGTTGGCTTACTCAAACATAGCTGGCACGCTTGGAATGTTCTTTGTTCTCATTTTAAACACTTTGATGCCATGGAGAATTGTCGGTTTGGTCTGCATGTTCGTGCCGATCGGAACAATCGTTGCGCTTTGTTTTGTAAGTCATGACTTTTAATGCCAAAATGTGAAATTTTCATTTGATTTAAGTCTTTTTTTTCATTCCCAGGTTCCTGAAACACCGATGTGGCTTTTATCAAAGAATCGAACGGCTGAAGCTGAAAAATCTCTATGCTGGCTCCGTGGCTGGGTTCCGAAAGAAAAGATTGCTAAAGAATTTGAGGCCATGCAACACTACAGCGATCGTACGAAGTTCTGTAACTCTTGCATCAAGCAGAACCTGAAGTGCACCCATCCACCGCCGACGAAGATAGAAAAATTGAAAGAGTTGAAGCGGAAGCATACGATGAAGCCATTTTTCATTGTAATGTCACTCTTTTTCATTGCACAATTCTCCGGTATATTAGCGATGACTCCATTCATTGTGCAGATATTCAAAGCGTACGAAAGCCCGATTGCACCAGATCGCACGGCCGCTATTCAGAGTTTTGTGAATAACATAGCAAACATTAGCTTTTTGTGCTTAGTAAAATTTACCGGCAAACGAAAGTTGTATCTCACAATGTTAACGGGTGTATTTCTTTGCGCAGCAATTGTTGCTGGGTACGGTTTCCTAGTGCTGCCGAGTGGTTACAATTCATTCGATCAATCGCAGCATTTCTCACTGGAAAATCAAAGTCTCGCCTACATCCCATTCATTGCCATTTTCGTGTGGAGTTTCTGCTCGTATTGTGGTGTTAATTCTTTGGCTTGGCAACTGCTATCCGAAGTCTTTCCCTACAAAACTCGCGGTGCAGCGACTGGATTGACGGCCGCCCTGAACTATGTACTTTGTTTTATTAGCACGAAAATTTATTACAATTTGGAAATGATGTTCTCATTGCCCGGTGTGGCATTGTTCAATTGCATCATTATAGCCGGCGGACTGATTTTGATGTACAAAATTCTTCCGGAAACCGAGAATCGATCGCTCGAAGACATCGAGATGCATTTTGTTGACAATTCCAAGAAGTTAACCGATCATAAGATTCCGAAAAAATCGAAGC